AAATACAGCCTGCTTCAAAACCACTAGAATACTGCTTTTCATTATATCATGAAAACCATTACTACAATGCCTGGGGTCATCATGGTCACATGTCTGAGATATGTTGTACTGAAGCGGCATTCATACGTTTCCTCTAGGAATGCATCCTGTCCGGGATCATGTCCGTGAAGGGGAAGAAGGTGCTGCACATGGACAGGAACTCCTACTATGGAGGGGAGAGTGCCTCCATCACCCCTCTGGAGGATGTGAGTCGCCGTTTGACCTCTGACCCCACAGCTCTTCTCTATCTCTACAGATGCTAACATTGTCTCTTGGTTTGCTTACAGTTGTACAAGCGTTTCAGCCTTCCTGGCAGCCCTCCTGAGTCCATGGGAAAGGGCCGCGACTGGAACGTGGACCTAATTCCCAAGTTTCTAATGGCCAACGGTAAGAAGCAACAACATTTACGCTTCAGTCTTCACATCTTGGAATCTGTAATCTCGGCCAAATACACAGCACGTTCTGGATCACTCTGCACCAGGCGCTGCTGGATCCCTCGGCCACACTTATCCTGTTGCCTAGCAGTTTTCTATCACTCTTGAAATGCCTCAAGAATACAAAACATCAATGGAGAGAAAGAAGTCAGCATTACCGTTTTGATCAGTTTGTTTGCCATTTATGTCTTTTTCGCATTCATAGGTCAGCTGGTGCGTATGCTGCTGATCACACAGGTGACACGTTACCTAGACTTCAAAGTGATCGAGGGCAGCTTTGTCTACAAAAAGGGCAGCATCTACAAAGTCCCCTCCACTGAGACTGAAGCTCTGGCATCGAGTAAGTGACATTTGTACGGTTCTGATGATCTAAAGTTAAGAACAAATAAGATTTATGGCCCCATAGATTTTTCTTCTGGGATTATATTTTCTTTTTTTTTCTGTTGGACTGCCAAAAGTATCTCATTGAAACTGGTGATTTTAAGCCAGCTTTTGCCATTTTTGTATTCAATGTTCATCCGATGGTCAGGCTGTGGGCAGTCCATGGTCTTGCCATCTGAGGCCAAGACTGTAGCCAACTAGGCTGGAGTGTTTTATTATCTGAACCAAACCACCGTGGCCTGAATGGATGACATGTTGTCAATATGTCAGAGTGAAAGAGAAATTACAGTGAAGTGCATATTGTGGGTACTTCCCTTTTCATTAATTGTATACCATGATGCAGTTGTAGCATATATAACATTACTGTAGTTCCTCTTAAATTTTGCAAAGTGAGTGAGAGATTCTAGCCTGTTTTTCATCCACCCAAACATAGTGTGTGTTGCCATGGAGCTGATGGAGAAAATTCTAATTTTTAATAACATATTTTAACACGTATTAATTCTATCAGGCCTCATGGGGCTTTTCGAGAAAAGGCGATTCAGGAAGTTCCTCGTGTTCGTTGCCAACTTCGATGAAAACGACCCAAAGACCTTGGAGGGAGTTGACCCTAAAAAGACCACCATGCGAGATGTGTACAAAAAGTTCGACCTCGGACAGGATGTCGTGGACTTCACCGGCCACGCTCTAGCACTCTACCGCACAGACGAGTGAGTCGACAACTCCTCTTACTCTTTGCCAAAGGTCCACTTACAACACTGAGAGGACTTTGCAGGCTTGTTTGTCCCTTGAAGTTAAAGCTGTGGTGTTTGTGCTTCCTCTCTGTCCAGCTACCTGGATCAGCCCTGCATGGAGACGATAAACAGGATTAAGCTGTACAGTGAGTCTTTGGCGAGGTACGGAAAGAGTCCATATCTGTACCCTCTCTATGGCCTGGGAGAGCTGCCCCAAGGCTTCGCCAGGTGAGTTTCCCCAGCTACTTATTCTGCCACTGATATTTTCACTAATTTCATTAAAATAGTCTTACAGCATTGTAAATGTGTCTGTGTCTAGTGTGCTTAGATTACAGTGGTCTGTAAGTGCACTAATAGTTTATTTTTGTCACTCACAGATTAAGTGCCATTTACGGAGGAACCTACATGCTGAACAAACCCATTGAGGAAATTGTTGTAGAGAACGGCAAAGTGGTGGGCGTCAAATCCGAGGGAGAGGTGAGTCTGTTGCAAGTTGTGTGAAATCTGATTTAACTTTAACATGTGCTTTGATTTAATGTTGTTTGTTCCTCATGGTCAGATCGCTCGCTGCAAGCAGCTGATTTGCGACCCCAGCTATGTCATGGACCGAGTCAGCAAGGTGGGTCAGGTGATGCGGGTCATCTGCATCATGAGCCACCCCATCAAGAACACCAGCGATGCCAACTCCTGCCAGATCATCATCCCTCAGAACCAGGTCAACAGGAAGCATGGTTAGTCTGACAGGAAACCACAGTGATCTAGTTGTGTGGGCTCTTATTCACTAACAGATTTTAATATCACATTATTTATTTATTTTGTTGTTTAGAGTTAGAAAGTTTGAGGTCCTTTACAATAGAAAGGTACCAAAAAGGCACTAAAATTTCACATTGAAATTTCTGAAAGCAATTTTATTTCCACAATAAAAAAAGATGGCGTTGTGAACAGTAATTTAGTTTAAAAGTTACATTTTATTAAGAAATTATTGAATTTAAAATTATGGCATGTAGCGTTCAAAGATTTCTTAAGTACATTTTTTTTCTTCAATTAATTACAAAAAACAAGAATTAAGTAATTGCATTTATAAAAGGACTAATGCACTTTTTCTTAAAAGAAATTCATTGAAAATAAATTGATAAATGTATCAAATGCATAAAAATACATTGTAAAATGCATTTTATTAAGAAATTACATGTAAAAGGCATTTATAAAAGTAATGCAGGAAAATAAATTGATAAATGTATCAAATGCATAAAAATACATTGTAAAGGCATTTATACTCTTGTAAAAAAAAAAAAATCAAATAAATGCTATAATTTCTTAAGGAGCAAATTAGACTGAAGTAATTATGCTGAAAATTCTGCTTTGTCAGCACATGAATCAATTACATTTTAACATGAATTTGAAATGGACATGTTATTTTAAATTGTAATAATATTTCTCAAATTTCCTGTTTTTGATTAAATGCCACCTTGGTGAGAATAAAAATGACTAACGTCAAACATTAAACAATACATTATTGTACATTAAATTCTTCTTTTAGATATCTACGTGTGCATGATCTCTTACGCACACAACGTGGCAGCCCAGGGTAAATATGTAGCCATCGTCAGCACCACTGTGGAGACCAACGACCCTGAGAAAGAGATCAAACCAGCCCTGGACCTTCTGGAACCAGTTGAGCAGAAGTACGTTTGCATGAGTCTGCATGCGCAAAGCTTACTTTGATGTAAAAGCAATCGGGTCAAAAATATAATTTTGCTGTGTGATCTTTTTGCAGGTTTGTGAGCATTAGTGATCAGTATGCACCAACTGACTTGGGATCTGACAGCCAGGTAAGTGTTTTACATTGTGCTCACTTGATAGACGAATAGTGATTACAGTACTTTGAAGAAACATCTGTATTTATCTGCTCCCAGATCTTCATCTCTCGCTCCTACGATGCCACGACTCACTTCGAGACGACCTGTGACGATATCAAAGACATCTACAAGCGAATGACGGGCACAGAGTTTGACTTTGCTGAAATGGAGCGCAAGAAGAATGACATCTTTGGTGACGCTGCTGACCAGTAAACTAGCTCCAGCTGCTCTTGAATATCAGATATTCAGATTATCATAATCTTAATGTTAAAAAAAAAAAGAAAAGAAAAAAATGGCAACCAAATTGGGCGAGCTGGCTATACAAGTGTATGTTTTGCCCATAATGGAATTTCATGTAAACTGTTATACAAATTTAGCATTTTCAGGGGGAGAAGGGGAGAAGGTTCTGCCAGTCTGCTTTTTATAATCGGGAAACAAGATCCATTTTGCACTGATTCTTTATCAATGCCCTGTATTTCGATTCCATCATGTGATCTTTCTCAACCTGCTTAGACATGGGATATGAAAAGTCCAAAGATGCCAAATTATCAGATGTATTCAAGTGATGAAGAAATGCATATTTTTTTAAATGTGCTGGTGTTGGCTGTAAAGAAGATAACCTTAAAGCAGAGGGGGGATCGGGTTTGCAAAATTGCAAATTGATCTGTTTCGCGTTTGGTCCGGTTTAACAGCACGTTTTTATTTTTAAAAGAAACCATTTGCTTCTGAGATAACTTCCAAGGATTATTCATCATTATATTTTCCTACAAATTACAACTGGTGCTTATACTAGTGTCCTGAGTTGGTTATATTTCTCTAATTTCCTGTGTTTACAGATCAAAGGGAAGTATCAAGCACACAAAGATTAGATAATCTTTTATGAAATCCGTGTCCAACCACACACAGTATTCGTTTTGCAATATGCTTATGTGATTTGACATAACTGACCCCCCATTAGCTGTAAATTGTGCTACTTGTTGGAAGGCCCGGGTTTTCTTTCAGCTTTGCCTTTCATCTCTTTTCTGATGGGTTATCCGTGATTCTAAGGCCACTACAAAGAGGTTATCACACATCAGCCGGAAAAGCTGCTTAACTGTAAGTCTGGAATCTGCTTGTCTAGTGTGTGTTAGCGAGCTCTCCTCCTTCTCCCTCACTCCAGAGCAGAGAGAGGAGCAGTGCCAGTGTCGGCTGAGTTCTTCTCAACGGCTCTGACGTGTTAGCAAGGACCAAAATGTCTATGGCAGTATTGACATGACCGGGGCCCTGTGCAAAATGTCACCAATGTTTTAAAAACAAAAAAAAAAAACAAATGCTCAACAGATGGGGCTCAAATGATTTCTGTACTGCGAAGTAAAAATGTTAACTTGTGGAAAACTGACTGTGTGTTTTTATTTTGTTACCAAATGCAAAATGAAACAAAATACATATCACAAAATGTTAAAGATTAATTCTAGACCGTATTTCGAAAGCATAAGAATAATGTACAATGTAAGGGTTCTATGAGCCTTTTTCTTGTTAACATTACAGCAGGTTTATCTTTTATTGGAAATGTGTTATTACACATTAGTGCTTTGATATAAACATTCATTTTGATAGTTAAAAAGTATTAACAGCGAGTTTATGCTATTTTTAAGGGGAAACGGTGGCTGAACTTTATATCCCAGCATTCTTTGCCTATTTGCCGTATTCGATCCGTAGTGTCGCAAATCATAACAAACCACAGAGGCCGCTTCTCTAAATATAGAGCAAGTTTTACTTTGTCAGCATGCTGTTCGCGTCCTTTATAAATAATATTTGTTGAATTTCAGGTAAGATTATTCAATTATGGAAATTACCGCTGCTAGATCAACGTTTTATGGTGACATCGGTGAGTATTTGTCATATAATATTGCATCTGACACATAACAGACTCCCTATCCTTGTAAATGCTTAACATTTGTTTAATAGAGTGGGACGTTATTTTTACTATAAGATCTATTGACACACCTAAGGGAAATAAATGAAAACGAAGTGCATTTCTAGGTCACTGGGCTGACCGTACGCCGGTGCATGAGGCTGCGTCTCAGGGTCGAGCTCTGCAGTTAAAGCAGCTGATAGAAGCAGGAGCATCAGTTAATATCGTAACTGTGGATAACTTCACACCTTTGCACGATGCCTGCATCCAAGCCCATCCAAACTGTGTTCAAATACTGCTTGAGGCAGGAGCTCAGGTGAGTTGAGCTCCAATTTCCTGATAATAATTTCCAAATAAATACAGCTGTTTATTTAATTATTAAAATAATTTTTTTAACCAAATAGTCATGCGAGAAAACACATAATATCACTCAAATGTATTTATATTCACCCACTTTTTTTAACACCGGGTGTATTTTAATTAGCGCATATAATCTGTCATGCCCTTATTTGGAAAACGATTGACAAACAATTAAAAAAGTTTCCTTATATATTTATTAATTAATTTATTTATTTAATTGAATTCTAAAAATGCTAAAAGTTTTCTTTTAGTGAAAAGGTTACATGTATAGGAATTAAAATTAACTTTTAAAAATAATAAGTCTAGTATTTAGCCACATAAAAAGCATATGTGTGTAGGTGGATGTGCGCACCATCCATGGAAGTACTCCTCTCTGTCACGCCTGCGCTGCTGGCAGCATAGAAAGTGTCAAGCTACTGGTAGATCAAGGAGCGTCGGTCAACCCTTCCCTGACCGCCCTTACGGCTTCCCCCCTCCATGAGGCCTGTATTCGAGGTGAGACAGCCAGGAGGAGGATTGCTTTGTGTTTAGACTTGGAGTAGTTTGTATGATGGTTATGGAGATTGTATCTCTGTGCAGGTAACCCAGACTGTGTGAAGCTTATGATAGCTAAGGGAGCGCTGCTGGAGGCCTTTGACATTTATTTTGGGACGCCATTACATGCTGCCTGTGCTAAAGCTCACTTTGACTGTGCCCTACTGCTGCTCAATGCAGGTGAGGCACATTTTTATTGTTTTATTTTATTTTGCACTATTTTAGATCATTCTGCATGGTTATTTTTTCAAACTCTTAAAGGTGCAAAGGTGAATGCCACCAGGTTCCATGAGACGGCACTACATCATGCGGCGAGAGCCGAGAGAGAGGACCTGGTGGAGTTGCTGGTGGAGTTCGGTGGAGATGTCAACATAAGCGATAACATGGGTCACAAACCTAGAGACTACACAAAAAATGAATCTCCTGCTAATCTCAGTCTGCTGCACTATGAGAGTATGTTATAATCTGCATATGCGCTATATGACTGCTGTTATCTCATATTGTTAATCTGCTGTTCTGTGTGTTTCCGCAGGTAACCCTCTCTCTCTGCAGCAGCTGTCCCGTATCGTCTTGAGGACTGTGTTGGGCACCAGAGCTCTAGAGCTGGTTACCAAACTGGACATTTCACAGCGCATCATTGATTACCTCACTTATAAATCATAGATATGTTCCCCAGAAGACATTTAAAAAAAAAAAATACTGTTTACTTGCTGGACTGTTGTTTGTAAAGTCTTAAATTCGTGAGCTGAGTGACGCATTTAACTTTGTGTGTGTCTAATTGTGTTAATAATGATGAATGTGCTACATTGCCTTGAAATAATTTTCAATGTAAATGTACTATTATTTTTTGTCATATTGCCTTTGGCTGTCAACCAGGCCCCCTGAAACTGGATCCCATGAAAACGTTTAGCTATTAATTTCTTCAAATTTCTGTCTATTAACCATTGTTAATGTTCTTGATTATTGTAAAGTGTTATCTGGTTTGCCGTGCCCCATGGTCTGTAAAGGTTAAAAACTCGGATGAACTGACATTGATACATTTGTGTCCAAATACTTTTGCTGGCCTCTCTACATTTACTGTGAACTACAACTCCCAGCATTCACAGTAAAACGTCACAGCAAGTGCCAAAACAGAACCGACCACGTGATGTATATACCGCATTTCTAAACAGCATGATTCCTGCTTTAATTTGTTGGCTAGCGAACTGTTAAGTTTACATTTTACTGTCTGCCAGTGTACTAAAGCAGAGATGGAAGTGGAAACAGCACGGCCTTATTTTTTTGGTGACATCGGTAAGTCCACGAGGACAGCGTGTATGCCGCAATCATACTGCATGCCGTCCTGTTGACAATTTTCATATTTTACACCGTATTGTTATTCTTAATATCGGCAACTATAAAATGAATATGTATATACAGTAAGAAATTAAGGAATGAATATCTTGGTTATTGGGGCATGTCACATCACTTTACCTGTCAAGGTTTGTTTTGTTTTCTACATTAAGGCGTTCTCTCCATATTTGACCCTATTAATACTTAACATTTAAGTATTAGCACATAAACTAAAATCAAAACCATAGCAATATATCATCCATCAATAGTATATGTGAGTTGAAGGAATCTTTTGAGTGATTTGTGACTCTTGTGGTTACAGTTTTAGTTGATGCATGTCATTGTGTGTGTATCTCTAGGTTTCTGGGCAGAGAGGACAGATGTTCATAAGGCTGCGTATCAAGGTCAGGTGTCAGTGCTGCAGAGTTTGATTCAGAGTGGAGCTTCAGTGAATATTGTGGCTGTGGACTCCATCACTCCCCTCCACGAGGCAGCTGCACGCGGACAGACACAGTGTGTGAGATTGCTGCTGGACGCAGGGGCTCAGGTACCACCAGACACACACATATACAGCCTGGGAGACAAACAAGTAAGTACTGCCATCTGAAAAGTTCCCTCTGTCTGGGGTTGTGTTGCAGGTTGATGCAAGGAATGTGGACGGGAGCACTCCACTATGTGAAGCTTGCTCTATCGGGAACTTCGAGTGTGTGAGGCTTCTTTTGGAGTATGGAGCAACAATCAACCCCACCCTTACCTCACGTACCACCTCCCCTCTACATGAGGCCTGCATAGGAGGTGTGGTTGTTTGGTTTGAATTGTAGTGTATTCAAATTTTATTTTATTTCATTTATATTTTATTTTAAAGTATATAGTTCAGACTATCAAATATATGTTTATATTAGATTTTGACTTTTTTTCTGTAGTTTTACTCCAGAATCTGTCAGGTAATTTTACAGAGTCACAGAGAAAGAATTATATATGTATCTATATATATCTATATATATCTACAGTAAGAAATTAATCTTTCAATATATATATATATATATATCACACACACACACAAAAAACAATTTAATTGTGTTTTATTGACCTATCTTATATATCATCTTTGTAGTATTACAGACCGTGTAAAGTCATTTTAAACACTACCTGTCAAACGTTTGGAATAATTTGTACTTTTAATGTATTTAAAAGTTGCATGTTAGAATGATTTATGAATGATAGCTTTGCCATCACAGAAATAAATGACATTTAAAAAAATATTAAAATATAAATACAATATAAACAACAGTTGTTTTAAATTCAAACAATATTTCTCAACCTTACTGTTTTTACTATATTTTTTATTAAAAAAACAGCCTTGGTAAGCTTAAGAGACTTTAAAACATTAATTATTATTCCGAAGTTAATGTAAATCCATAGAGTAAGCATTATTTTGATGATTTTTCTATATATATAAATCATCAAAATAATGCCCTCATATATTATATAATGCGTATATATAATTTGATATATTATATTGACTTTGCTAATTATTAAGGTAATGTTATACATTCACAGAGTAAGAATTGTTTTGATAAACTAAACTTTCTGAGTAAAATAATTGTCTATCCATCATATAATGTAAGAATATTCTGTATTTTGCAGGTAATGCTGATTGTGTGAGGTTAGTGATTGCAAAAGGAGCCAGTCTGGAGGCTTATGACCTGTACTATGGTACTCCTCTGCATGTGGCGTGTGCCAAAAAACACCTGGAGTGTGTCAAGGTGCTACTGAATGCAGGTAAAACCAGATCCCACGAGCTGTGAGACTGTGAAATGCGCTGTCATGTGTGCAAACATTGAAGAGAAGGTAGTTTGTGCTATGCCTGTGTGCAGGTGTGCGAGTGAACGCCACTAGGCTACACAAGACGCCTCTGCATCACGCCGCCAAGTCCAACAATGTGGACATGATTGAGCTGCTGGTGGAGTTCGGAGCCAACATTTATGCCAGAGACAAATATGATAGGAAGCCAGTCGACTACACAACCCAAGATACGCCCTCAGCACACTGCCTTCAGCTTTATGAGAGTGAGTTCAAATCAAAACAGCTATTTTATTTAATTAATTAATTAATTTATTTATTTATTTATTTATTACAGGGACAGTGCATATTAATAAACATTTGTGTCAATATGCCAGAGTTAGCCAGAAGGCTATTTTTCATCTGCAGTCCCTAGATAGATGGTAAAAGTCACCCTAAAAGAGAATAAAATTACATATGTACATAGCAATATAAAAATTACAATACATTGAGTTACAAGTCTCAATCGAAACACAGCAAACCAACAATCACACAAACATCAGACAAAAACATGACACACATTTTGAAGGTTCAGGTCTGTTGTGATTGGTTGACCACCTGCCTAATTTACCAATTAAATTCTGCAGACCTTTTACTTTCACAAACAGCTATATTACACACTACATGAAAGGTAACATGGTTTACATTCATTCCTTTATAAGACAGGCTGACTGAATATACAGAATTGGGAAAAAAAATGAATACATTTGGAAATAAAATGTATACATTTATAAATAAATAAAAAATATATAATATGTGTGATTTTTTTTTTTTTTTTTCAAAGGGAAAATAAAACCAGTAGTGACCAGCAGATGGTGATCATGGCTTCATATAAAAGCAAAAACTGCCTTTGTGTTGCATGAGAAATCAATTCAAAGTTTATTAGTTTGGTATGTTCTCTATGCTTTCAATGATTTTTAAAATGTTCCTAAAACTAAAATGTTATGTTAATGTTAAGTGATACAGTGATATGCTGGTGCTGGTTGTATTTTACAGTGCACTGCCAGGTCTGCTGCCTTGGTGCTGCTCAGGATGTTTTCGGCATGTGATGTAAACAAATACATGAAGTTTATGATAATGAGATTAAAAGTTGGATTCTGGTGTTGGGTGCTGGAATCCATCATTAGTCTCATCCACAAGGTTCATCCATACACAACATGCCAGTAGCCCTCTTCAGAATGTAAACCACATTAATGAGAATCCGTGGCCTAGGAGCATATAAATATTTTCCTGGCCACTTAGAGACTGAACAAAAAAAGAAATTGAGTATGCAAACATTCAGAAATGATATGACAGGATGTCCTAAACTTGAATGCTCATATTTGAAATGTTATCAAGCAAGGTTTTATCTTCTTGAATGCTCACTTTTATCTGTCCCTTTGTGTTTGGTTTCTATGGAAGGCAATGTCAACATACAGGGGATGTTATGTGGTAGTGAACGGGTGGCCACCCAAATCACTAATGATGTTCATTGCATTGAAATATTATTGATTTATTAATGTTGCTTTGCATTGTGTTTTTGCAGGTAACCCTCTTTCTCTGCAGCAGCTGAGCCGTATCACCCTGAGGACCGTCCTGGGCACTAAAGCTGTGGACGTGGTGACTAAATTGGATATTCCCAACAGTATTATCCGTTATCTCTTATACCAATGAACTCCTTCCGTAGAGATCCACAGATGCAGTGGAAAGATGTAATTTTATCTCAAATGTACAAAAACAAATATGCATTATATCAGTACTGTCGAGCATTAAAGGTGAAGTGTGTAACTTTTTTCAACGCTAAAGAAATCAAAAGTAACAATTCATGTTTTTTGCCATATTTATTATAAAGGATTGTTCCGTGCACAAAATTCATTTTGAATTCACGTAATCACATAATCTTTAATCAAAATAACTTCCTCTCCCTCTGAAAGCGACGTCTCGTCTCTTACCAATAGCTCTCGACCAATAGCAAACCACAACCATTCAACGATCCAATCAATTCCCGATGGACAAATTCAAGTCCATTTTACGTCACAATAAGGGGAAAAAAAGACTATCGCAACTTCTGTTTCATGCAGTCTTTAAAAATGTATCCTTATCATTATTCTTACAATTTTGTACGGTGCAACTATTGGTACAGAAATTATACACTTCACCTCTAAAAGAATAGTTCACTCAAAAATAAAAATTCTGTCATTATTAACTCACTTTCGTGTCGTTCCAAAACTGTTACAAAACCCTTTTTTCTGAAGTCAGTGGGGTACAAAAAAACCTTTGGTCCCCATTGACTTTCATTGTATAGAGAGATGAAAACAATAAGAAAGTTTAAATAATATCTTAATAATATGACAGAATTTTCATTTTTTGGGTGGACTGTCCTTTTTAATGAACAAAAGCACAGCGGATTACATTAAATAGGGAGCACTTCGTTATAGCACTTCTCATCACAGCAGTCTGGCCTTGGTCAGTTTAGGACTAATGTAAACCATTAAATGCATGCAAGATATTGCCAGAGAGAAAAAGCGTGAGATGGAGACACAGAAAGAGGAAACACTTAATCTGGCAGCTGTCTACATTCAGGAACTCATCTGACCACTAAATGAAGTCCAGGGAAACAGCAGCACATTAGTCACTATGCTTTGCTGGATTGCTGGATAGTAGCATGTGAACATCCTCATGCATTTATTAGAGATTCATTATAGGGGAACACAACGGCTTGAACAAAGTGTTCTTGAACAGGCCTGAGTAAAGCACGGGCATTTACATTATGACATGGGAAGCTTGAGTTGTACCACCGCTCTGCCACATTCGTTGTCTATGTTCCGCTATAGTGACGCCACGGTGACACTGACAGGAACCAGTTTACGGCGTGTTGGATTTTAGTACTGTTGTATTGGTACACCGGTCATAATATTTCAGAATTCCTCTAAAGGATTAGCTATTATCTGTATATGTTTGTTATTCTTAATTGCTGTTCTTACAGGTCAGATTTTGTCTGAAGTGAGGAAAAGATATTAAACGTGAAACAACTTTTACTGAAGTCCCATAATGTAAGATTTTTGAGTTAATCAGAATATGCAGGAAAATGCATTAGGTGGGACTTTATATGATCCATCAGGATTTGAATGGATCATGAAATGTAACATTTTTTTTGTTATTAATAGTATATTTCCTAAATTTTAGATACATCACAAAGAAGTTAAATGTGTTTCATAGGTAAACGACAAACTTGCATTTACTTCGCATGCACTTATGAATTGCATATGCAGATAAATTGCTGCATGTACACAATCATTCAAAAGTTTGGGGTCTGTAATGTTTTGTTTTTGAAATAAATATTATTATATAAATAACAATAATTAATACTTAAATTCAGCAAGGATGCATTAAAGGTATAATATGCAGGATTTTTGCAATAAAATATCCAAAAACCACTAGGCCAATGTTATATATTTTGTTTAGTTGATTACTTACAATATATCCCAAATGTTTCCAACTATTTGTAAATCGTGAGAAAATTGCGATTTTTAACCAAGGAAACAGGGCGTGTGAGCAGGGTTTGAGGAGTCGCCAGTCAATGTCGCCATAACCGCGTTACCCCCGGTTTCCGCCAGGTTTGACCTCATATTGCAATAGTAACCATGGCGACAGACGTGGACAACTGGGTCGGTTATGCCCGTTATGCGTGCTCAACAGCGTGAGCGTCCCTAGCAGGGTTTCACAATATTACTGTTTCACCATCTTACTGTTTTAATACATGCAAATAAATGGAGAACTGCGGGTCAAACTCACAAAACTAATCCTGTCACCCTCAGCCGAGCGAGAAATATCAATTTCAGCCAAAGTAACTCGGTGATTTGTTCCATTTATTTCTCACTCGGCTGCTCCTTCCCTTAATTCATTTAAAGGGTGTCAGGATTAGTTGTGTGAGTTTGACCCACAGTTCTCCAAGTTATCTTTATCCATCTGATCCGCTCAAATCCCACGTTCCTCCTCCGGCCTCCTCTTATAAAGTACAGAATGTTCTATAAATAGCAGCCAGACCAGAAATAGATCAAGGTCCAAGCACTGAGTACCTCTTCCTGAGCTGTCCTGAAGCAGAGCGGGATGGAGGGACGGCAGGAATGTTGTTATTCGAGCGCTCACCCTTTTCTGATATTAAGCTTACAGAAACAGGACAGCTGCTATTGAAAGAATGCTGCTGTTTTTCCTTCTTATCTGATTCTCATATCTTAAAACAGCCTTTAAAGGATTGTTGTTTTATCTTCACCAGTCTTAATTGTTTGAAGCAGATTGTGGAATTCATGGACGTTATGTTTAGATATAACCTAAATTTAGATATGCCAACGTTGCTTGGATTTTTGGCTCTTTTTTTTTGATGGGTTATTCCATGGCATGACTTAAAAAAGCTTAAAATATTTGGTGCTACATGCTTTTAATACTGTTGCAGATTATGATTATTTAAGTTGTGAAGTAAATATTTACAGGAAGTTTTCTTCGATCAGGATATTCAGTAATAAGCCATAGAACTATCATTCTTCCTCATTGAGAAAACAACAATATGATTCTTCCTATGATTTTTGGCCCTCATGAATATCTATAATGGGCTATATGCACGCATAAATTCCGCATTTGACGCAACGATGCTCGTCCATTTCCGGTTGTGAAGATTAAAGCGGAGGAAAACAGAGGAAAACGGGATTATGTCAGAGTCTTCAAAATTTACTGTCCTCCAGTCTTTGAAATGAAACGTACATACGTTTAGATGTAATTTTATATATAGTTATTTTTATTTAATATAATTTTAAAAAGAAGCATAAACACAACGAGGGGTGTCTGTTTTATCTGTTTTTGTGACTAACGTTTCTTTAGTATAACCATGGAGTATAAAATTCAATATAAATTCTCGGTATTGCATTGGACTCTATGATCGGCGGAAGTTATCGAGCATCCCTAATGCTTCACCGTAGAGCCCATTACTTCACAGGCCTATTTATGAATTGCATATAGATAAATTGCTGCTTGTACACTACTGTTTGGATCATGCTTTGTTTTTGAAAGAAATTACTACTTTTATTTAAGCAATAATGTATTCAAATATGATCAAAACGTGACTGTAAAAAAACATCTGTAATGCTACAAAAGATTTCTTTCAAATAAATGCTGTTCTTTTGAACCTTCTATTCAACTTTCTATGAATTTCTTTAAAAAAAAAAAAACAGCCATCATTATTCCTCATAAAGAAAACCACAGAACTGACAAAGTTGTTTTAATCCTACATGAACATCTAACCATGTTTTCACCTATTTCTCAGTTGCATTTCTCGTTGTTGCAACTAGGGGGCTCTGCAGCTTTTATATACGTTGTCTGTCTCTTTGTTTCTAGACAGTCTTCCTTCTTTGTGACTGAAAGTAGGCTTCTTCCTGATTAAAAGCACCTGATCACATTCTAGTCAATGTCTCACTGACTATTGACCCCTGAGCAACAATTTAACTGTGCGACTGTTCCTTTAACAGACTCAGTGTTATTATGTCTTCTGCTCGTTGCTGTTATGCTACTGCATGTTGACACTGAACCTTGTCATTCAAGAAAAATAGCACACCTGGTTACACAAGTGAGCAGCTTTTGTGCTGGAACAAAGGTCTGCTGTTCTCCCAGAGACTGGCTTCAGAAGGTTATAAAAACAAACGTACTTGAAGAAAAAGGTTGGAAGAAAGGAAGAAGCAGATTCTGGTTCTGAGACGGTCCGCTTCTTGTCTTTAGTGGCTCTCCGGCACAAATCACCTCAGATCCACTCAGGAATTCCGTCTCAATGAGAAACAGATGTGTGTGTGTGTATGAAGTGCAGCCATGAGAGACACGCTCAGCTGGAAAACTGTACACTGCAGTCTTGCTTAAGACAAAGTTAGCTGTGATGCATTTGCATGATCTGGTGTTGTAACTTACTGTTCTATCCCTTTAGTGTATTTTGAAAAACTGTTCAGAATATTATTTCAAATTTGATGAAAGCCAAAAGGCTAGGACTAAATCTTTTTTATCTTGGTTGCTTGTCATGTTGCATAAAGTGACTTACAAGTCAGCAATTGCAGACACAACCCGCCTGGAGCAACACAGGGTTAACTGCTTCACCCTGGAGTTTGTCTTGCCCCTATCTAAAATCAAACTTAACCACTAGGCCACTCGTCTGTTTTTATGTACTGTCTGAACTGTTGAGAGTGTAGACAAGACTCATTCAAAGTCATTGTATATGTCTAGTCAGAAAAAATGTTTCTCTGTCCAGCTGAGAAGAGGCAGCGTAGGATAGACTACACACATATACACGTCATCTGTCTTTGTTTCCCTTTCTCCCTCTAAATGATCATACCATCTGTGAATGTGATTTTATTTTCTTTTTTTAAAGGGACTCCCTCTATTGGATATTTAGGCAACACACAACCTGGCCTCAGCAACTTTCCATATTAGCTCCTATTTGTCACTATATGACGTTGGTTGTTTACATTTTTAGTTTGTTAAATATTATTTTTAAATTTATTTTATTCAGCAGCAGTTGCTTGGCTGATTTTAATGATATATTGATTTCTAAAACCAATAATTATTTTATTTCATTTTTTTTTACCATTCATTTCAATGGCTGGTTTTATGGATTGAATACCAGTTATTCACTTAATGAATTGGGCAATATATTGACGTCTATAGCCAATAATTAATCTCTATTTTATTTTAATGTTTTTTTACCTCACATTTCAATAGATGGTTTTATGGATTGTATACCACTGATTTTAAAATTAACAATATTTTGACTTCTAAAATAAAATTCTTTTAATTTATTAGTTTTTAAAATGTGTTTACCTCACATTTCAATGGCTAGTTTTATGGATTGAATACCAGTTATTCACATAATAAATTGGGCAATATATTGACTTCTACAGCCAATAATTAATCACTATTTTATTTTAATGTAATTTTTTACCATTTATTTCAATGACTAATTTTATGGATTGTGTGTCAGTGATTCACATTTTAAAATGAATACTCTCTTGACGTATAAAGCTAATACTTAATTTTCACATCCTCAATCAACTGATAGCTCTATATAATTCATAATATTTTTTCCTGATATGATGATTTTTGACATCACACACGTTGGTTATGATGTGCAGTGCCTTTTGAAGAGAAATACTGTGACTCCATAACGTAAATCTGATTTAGCGTTTCCTCATGGCTTCAGAGGTCACAGCACATGTCATACTGAGAACAAAGGCCTCACATAGACACATGCACATGATTTCTCTTTTGATCTTTCACTGAAAATGAATTAAACTGGTTAAAATAACTTGAGGGCAGCAATCACCTGATTGCACATTCTTATTTGATCTAAATTAAATGTACTTCATCATTATAATATCATTCTTTGTGTGTTTTTCACTGTGTATAACTCGATGGCTTTTGTCTCTGTTCTTGTTTACTTTGTGGCCTACATCTCAGTCTATCATTTTTGCATCAACCCTCAATTACAAGCTTGCTTTGTAGTCAGCATATTTTGGGGGATTTCTTGTCTCGAGGCAGGAAAAGGCAACGCAAGTACCATCTACAAAAGCATGCCTAACCACTTACATGTTTTACATTTTGTTCTCCATGCACGCAAGGTAAATTAGCACACATTAAATTCAACAAGGATTCAGGCTTTCTAAAAACATATGCAGTAATTTGAACTGCTTAAGTATGGATGCTTGAAGGCAAATGTTTGTGTGATGGCTGAAGAATGATAGCGGAGTGTATTTGTGCTCTGATGCTAATGCAGAGCACAGCTATTTGGTTATATAAGCAGTTTCGAGGTCATGTTTGCCACAGACTCCACTGTGGACATTTTTTTTTATTATTGTGGATCACATGCCGAAAGACAAAACAAGAACACAATGTGCTCCAGGTAGCTTCTTCTCACTCCACCAAACCGACTATTAGCCGTTTAGCCTCCGCAGTAATGACAAGGTGTGTCAGCAGGTTGAGTAGTTTTGAGGGTTGAGATTGCATTCTTGCCCCAAGCCATGTCCTCCAGATCTGGCTTTTCAAGTTCATCTGTTCCTTTTTTATCAATAAGATATGAGGCGGAGGTGAGACAAAGTGTTAAACAAAATGTTTTTGCTACCTGTTATGAAACAAGTGACACAATTATTTTTATTTGTTTGACATTTTCTATTATAATTGATGGTGTCATGTGATCAAAAACGAATGTGTTATAAATCTTCCTCTAAACTCTGAGAAGTGATATTTGGCAGACATTTTAAAAG